TATTTTATATTACAGCATAAAGTAAATGAATGTAATATAAATGAAATGACTAAATATACATGATTGTATGTGTATGTTGATTGATGGAGCACACTCCCTTATAATACTAGTAGGGGGCGTAATGTACTTGTGCACGTAAATGAAAAAAGTTATGAAAAAAGGAAAAGAAATTGAAAAGAAGTACCTTCATTAATACTAATTTAAATAATGGCTCCTGTGACAGTTGTATTATTTATGAAAAAAAAAGATATACAACGATATTATATATACATAATATTGAATGTATTGAAATGAAATTAATATAAATGAAATTACTTTATGATATGATTGAAATGTCCATGCATATTGTTTCAATTTCCTTAAGTTACTCTAATTTAGAAGCATGTTTTACTAACTAAGCTATGACTTACTTTTAGTTGTTCTAATATTTTTCAGGTATAATTTAATATAATAAAAAATGTGTAGTTGAGATGAAAATGTGTAACGTAGATGTGGCGCACTGAATGAAAGGTATTTAATTCATTTTATATCAGTTTATATTTTTTTGAAGTTTTGATGGCTCTTTCAGTGTATTGGAGATAGATTTAGCAAATGAAAAATTAATCTATGGTCCGACTTTCTATTCCTACCTCATCAATTCGATCATCCGGGTTGAGTCATGACAGAGGATCACTAGTCTACTGTTAGAGAAGTATATATGATGTGAAGATGGAAAAAAAATTAAGGGCCTACTAAATTAGCCTCAGGCTATCCTTATTCCAATCTTAAGTAATTTAACTACTTAAATTATTTCAATAAGTCATTCAGGTATATTCTTTAATATTATCTACTTAGCAAGAATTTTTAACATAGAATGTAATAAAATTTGATATTTTGTTAATTAACAGTACATAATTTAATGTAATAATTATTCTTGTGTTCACTTCTATGACTTCATAAATAAAATGTGGATTTTAATTGAAATAGCTTCTTTATTCAACACTTTACTTCACCTAAGCAAGCCCAGCATCTCGGGCATTAGATAGCCACATTGCCTTAAGGAAGCTTAGCGCTTTAGATGATGCCAGATACTAGATCATATGTATTCTCACAATTCATTTGAAACCCTACTGCTGGCTTAAGGAAAAACGAAACTCATACATATCAAAAAAAGAAAAAAAAAGAAGAAATCATACATGCAGCCATTCATCACACAATCTCCCCACATCTATCATACCCACAACAATGTCATCCTCATCTCCCCTCAAAACGACGTGAACAACCTCCTCTTAATTTCAGCTCACTCCCTCTCATTCTCACATTCCTCTCTCTCTCTCTCTCTCTCTCTCTCTCTCTCTCTCTCTCTCTCTATATATATATATATATATATATATATATATTCTTCTTTCTCTTCCAACCGACTCCACCCAAACTCACGATCCCACTTCCCTAACGACTTCGTCAGCTCGCATGACCTAGTCCAGGCCAATATAAACCAACTACAGCCACTGCCTTCCCCAACCGCATGCTAGCTAGCCGTCACTCGAATTTGCAGCCCTAACTGCTCAACCAACTAACACTGTCGTCGCCACTATTATTACCTAAGCCCATGAGCCCCTTTCTTTTTCACTCTCTTTATCTCTCCTCTCTCTTTTACTTTCTCGGCCACTTTCTCCCTCTTTCTCTTCCTATCTCTCTCCTTCTTTATCCTCCGCTCTCCTCTTCCCCTCTTTCTATCTCTCTCACTTTCTCTCTACTCTCCTTCCATTCTATCTCCAAATAGAGAGAAACTTCTCCTCCCTCCACTTAACCATTCAATCTATCATAATCTTTCTCTCACTTCCCTTTGTACTCTTCGCTTTCTTTTTCTAGAAAGAGAGAGGAACCAAAAAAGTGAAAAAAGGTAAAAAAAATCAAAATTAAAAAAGAGAAATGTTGATGCATACTTGCAAATCCTTCGACATCATTTTCTTTTCATTCCTATGTGTGCAAAGGTACAAGCTTGCAAATACTTAAAATTTTCAAAATCTCGAATGTGACACACTCGAAACAACGAGCAAAACTAGTACACATGTTTCATGGCACAATGGGGTATACTCATAGACAACATTGATATCGCAATAGGTAAGCCCAGTGCATTTTTCTTAGCAAAATAGGAAAATTTCTAATATATGTGCATATCTTTCTTGACACGATAGGGAATCATACCAAATTTCAAGTCCTAGTAGTCCCAATAATGCCACCTACACAAGGAAGACAATAGGAAATTGCTAAAATTTGCATTGACAAGGGACCTAGATAAAACAATATCAAAGGAACTTTGAGCATAAATACAAAATAAATTAAACTAAAATTAAAACTAGCGAAAATAGAGATCAGAGTTACAAGATGAGAACACGATTGAACATTAAACTGGACACATAAGACTCACTGGAGACTTGTAATGAACTCAACAACTCATCAACAACGCGAATAAAATTTATTCACTTTTGGAACTCTCTCGAACACTTAGGAGATTTAAGAACATATCCAGTTAGATGAATTGATGAAAATGAACTAAGGGGGATGATTTATTTATAGATGGTATAATGATTCCCCGAGAAGCTCAGCTAACTGAAATCCAACTATATAAGTCAACATAAAAGGGCAGCGTGAAAAATGTGCTAAGATTCTAATCTACATTCTACACTAGATCCACAACACATATACGCAAGGGGACAAAAGGCAAAGGGCGATCAATTAAAATTTTAAAGTGAAATATTGCAAGCATTTAATGATAAATACTCACAATCTGATCCACAACACACTTACAAGCAGACATAATGCAAAAATAATTAACATAGAATGCAACTGCGGCACATTCACGTGAACAACTCTAAGACCCTTAAACATCTCAAACAGTTGCAATCACATAAGTGACTGCTAAATAAGATAAAATAATCAACCAATTACACATCATAGGTGCACGAATGTCCTAAATGACATGCACATAAATTGCTAAAAAGGGAGCTTGTGCACATTACATGAATTTGTACACCTCATGAACTAAAACTTTCAAAATGAGACAAAGCGGTACACTATTGCATGTCATGTGTAGCACAATTATTTTGACAAGTGTGCAGGACGTGTCAAATCACTAGAACCAATTTTGTCCACCCATTTGCTAATTACACAGTGCAAGCAAACCAGTGGACATGCAAGTGCAATATGTAAGAACATCAAAAAGCAAGTATGCAATTGCATCACTTAAGTGCATCAAGAAACATACAACTATGTCGTGCAAATGCATCAAAAAGCATATGCAACAGATTAGGGCACTGAAATCAATTTTCCCTCATATGCTCCAACCAATATACTAAACTCATTTTGAGGTCCAATAATGTTGCATAAAAGTAAATAGAACCAAATCTATGAGACACTATTAAAACTTGGATTATGAACCCTTTGATTAAGTGATTTTATTGTAAAATGACATCATTAAATTACTGCCACGACCATTAAACTTGATTTTTTTAGTATAAAACTTGGTTTATTCTCAGGTGCAAACATTATTCTTCTAAGACACTATTTCATTACTCTTTATGCTTCATTATATAACATATAAATTTGATTTCCTATATAATAATCATAATCATTAACATCTCCTATACTCTAAAATATTAATATCAAAATTCTTATTCCCCAATTATTTAGCATTCATTTAGACTTTGAAATTCATTGAATAGATATATTAATCAAACTACTCAAACATCACCCACAACTCTCCTAAATCTCAATAGGTATATCATTTGAATCTAAAGTTCTATCTTCATTCATCTTCTTCAGTTTTAACTCCACTTTTTTAAATTAAATCTCTATACACCTTATAATTTTATTTATCACACTCTTCCATAAAGATTTATTTCATAAAACTCTAATTTAATAATTTTTTTAAAGTAGCATTTTTCAATCTTTCTTTGATTTCTTAATATTTAACTATGATATTTTTTCAGTTTGCTTTTAATGCATCAACTTGATTAAAATCTTTACTTATCCTCTTTTACCTTGGATATTTTATATAATCTTATTATGTCCTTCCATAATATCTAATCTAATCTAATATTTAAATCATCAAAAATTTTAACTTTGGAAATTAAACTCAAGTAAAAAACTAGGGGTAGCCAAGGGGATTGGAACAGAGATGGGAGGGGACTGTTCATAGATTTTATTTTAATTTAAACTCGATTCAACTTAGATCACTTCATTAGCACACAAGTCATTAACACGAACCACTTGGTGGATCAGAAGTTAATACTGCTTCGAAATAATGATCAGATGCTTCCATCACAGACGGTTCATATTTGATAATCTGCTTATCAGATAACTCCAAGCCACCCACAACACCATGTTCTACAACAGGAAGCCATCGTTTCTTTTCATCTCACGTCTCCATCTTCCATGTAGAAATGACCTTTCTTTATTAGATTTAAATGAGAATTTAACTTTTAAAAGGGCACAATGGAGAAAAAGGATTCATGTAGCTGACCCCACAGTGGGATACAGGCTTCTTCTTGTTGTTGTTGTTGCCGCCTCCATCTTCCTTTCATATTCTACTGCCCAAGATGGACCAAAAAACTAGGACGTTGAACCCTACCATTGCAAGAAATGAGTTTATTACAACTAAAACTCAATTCACCTAAGGTTGCTTATAGGTGCATGTAAATTTCCTAATTTGTTGAATTTTGAGAAATTATAGTTTTGGCAAAAAAAAAGAGGAAAGAACAAAAGTACAAAAATTTCCAAAGAGTAGATAATCATGAAGTAAAACAGCTTCAACCAATATAATTTATGCGCTTTGAAAGATAAAATGCACATCAAGAAAAAATTGTTCCGAAAAGAACATTAGCTAAACTTAAAATATGCGTGTACTTAAAACATGCATATGTGTGCACGCATATTTTGATCTCTAATCAACAATCAGCGTAGAAGAAGAAAATATAAGATGGACCAACAGAATTTGCTAATATTTGAATGAACGTTACATGGAAAACCAGCCCAGCTGCAGTCTATGATATAATATTGCAGTATGTCCATCTACCTCCTCTACTAAGCTACCATATTGGAAGCTGGAGTCCCACCTACAATATTAAGGGAGAATAATAGGATCTAATTACTAAGAGCAAAGTGAGAAAATCCCAGTGCACACCAAGGAACTTACTCAAATCGAGTTCCATCCATACACATCACAAGTTCAAATATTGCTTCACAAGTGGCCTCCACCACACCAACAGCTTTCATTGCTCTACTACAACTTCTTGGCTGTAAAAATACAAATATCAGAAGATAAATTCAACCAGATTAAGTTGCCTACATCATTATTATCTTTCAAATTAAAAAAAAAACTTCCTATCATTGTCAGCATAATAAAACAAATGATTTCATCAATTACAAGGTAATCAGCTTCCGAAAGCTCTTCAAAAATGCGAAGACCTGCATATTTTTGAAGAAATAATAACTAGCATATAACCTCTGTTGTTTAAAAAAGAGCATGAAAAGATTAAGAAAAAATCTTGCCATTCTGACATCTGACAAGGCGCCAATGTTTTCTAGAAAAAACTTCATCTGAAGTACTCTGATTTGATAACACCGAATCACCCTGGCGTGTCCAATCGAGCATTGATTCAGGAGGACCTGCAAGCGGGAAAAGCACAATCATGCAGCAGAACATAAATCCTCTGTGCACAAAAACATGACAATATCACAACACAAAAACTTCAAAATGAAAATAAAACTAATCAAACCATACAAGTTATCCTTGCATACCATTGCCAATTGTTGTCCTACGAATCATTGTGCGGTTTGTTACTTCCTCATCCTCGGCACTTGCCCTGTATGTATAAATTTGGGTAGTCTTATCAGATATGCCATTTATATGCTGTGTAGTCTGTTAACTATCTAAAGATCAGTTACTTACAGGCTTTCCCTGTCAGATGAAGAAGCGTTCCCATCAGCATTAATGCCAGCTTTGGCCAGAAATGAAGCATGTAGCATACTTCCATTAGCTGTGTTTAAATCTTGCTGCTGAAAACAGAAGTGAGATTAGTTGTTCTATCCAGAAACTGCCATAGAAGCAGTGAAGCTTTATATCTAAGGAATTCTCGAATTATGCATAAATGAAATAGTAGTGTGCAGAAAGTTTTAGACACAGATACTAGACATCTTGCATCAACAAAGGGAAATGGATTTACAGCTCGTTTCATTTTTTTTTCCTACAAAATATAATAATAATTTCCCCAAAGTTAGAGAAAACAATCATATTCATTTAGTACAGATGTGAGATGACAATAAAATATTTCAATCAGCACTCAACAAGAATTGCGGCCTCATGAGGCAGACCTTAAATGGTTGAGATAAGGTTGATACTTAGAATGATGACAAGTAGAGAAAAGACAAAAAAGCATGGTTTAAAATTGCGCAATATGAGGCTCACCTTGAGGCCCGCCTTTGCGCAATTCCAGTAAAAAACGCCTCGATGCTTACGCATCGAGTTTTTTTTATGAGGCTTGCGCCTCAACTTGGTTGAGGCCCGCCTTGAGGCCCGCCTCGCCTCACGCTATATATATTAAAACTTACATAAATTCTTTGAAAAAAAAATGTCCGACATTGGACTCTATAGGAGAGGAGGATGGGGAGAGAGAGTTCATCATGAGATGATTTCAAATGAAGAACCCCTAGTGATGACAGGTGCTTGAGACTTATGAGCTCTTATGTGATATGTCATTGCTATTTATTTTTGGAAATGGAATTATATGGTTAATTGAAAAGAATACTGGGATTTGGGAAAGATAGAAATTTGAGTTGAACTATATTTCATGTTGTCTTATTATTGGGATATTTTGATTTCACGTCATATCTTATGTTTTTTTTATGTTTTATATTATTCACTCATTAGTATATAAAAAATTTGTCATTTTATGTTTACGCAATCTTTTGATTTTGAGGCTTACGCCTCGCCTCACGAATGAAAAACACCTCAATACGCAATTTTAAACATTGCAAAAAAGAAATATTTTGAAGTTCTGTAATGTCCTAAAAAAGGAATACTATAGCATATGAACAGGTTTGACTTGCTAAAGCTTCAAAACTACAAAAAAAAAAGGTCCCTTCAATTTATGGCAACCTGGTCAATCACAGATTCAATTTTCTCCTTCCAGACCAAAGCCTCCTGGATGTTGAACGCTGCCATCTGACACATGAAAATTATAAAATAAATTAACAAATAATCCAGTAAATACGAATGGTTGCAAGAAATAGCATGCAAAATGTATCAGAATAACTTAGTAAGAGTAATCAACAGCCGACAATAATAAAGAAAAAAAAAATCCATGAAACACTTCTATCCAGCAACAACAACAACATCAAGCCTTTATCTCACTATGTTGGGTCGGCTACATTAATCCTTTTTCTCAATTATGTCCAGTTAAGAGTCAAATTCTCATTTAAATCTAATAAGGAAATGTCATTTCTAATATTTTCTAATCAAGTCCTCTTAGGTCTACCTCATCGGAAGGCCGCCCTTTCATGTAACCAGACCATCTAAAGCGACTCTCTGATCTTATCTTCCACTAGAGCTATTTCAACCTTTTCACATATATGCACATTTTGTATCCTATCTCTAAGAGTAAACCCACTCATACACTTCAACATCCTAATCTCTGCAACACGTAACTTAATATTATACTTCTCTTTCAATGGCCAACATTCTGCAGCATAAAGCATTGCTGGTCTCACCACCATCTTATAGAATTTTCCCTCAAGTATGAGGGGGACTTTTCTATCACGCAAAAAGCCCAATGTATTTCTCTACTTCAACCATCCAATTTGAATTCTACTAATAATATCCTCATTTATTTTACCATCACTCTAAACAATAGACCCAATATATCTAAAACATATACACTTATTAATGACTTGATCGCCCAAAGTCACAATTCCCCCACTAGATCTATTACAACTAAAATTAAACTCTATATATCCGGTTTTAGATCTACTGAAATACAAATCTTTAGACTCAAAGGTTGACTTCCATAATTGAAGTTTACCTTCAACTCTCTCTCTCTAGTCTTACCAACAAGAAGAATACCATCAGCAAAAAGCATACACCAAGGCACAATCTCCTGCAAATGTCTAGTCAGAACACTCATGACTAAAGCAAAAAGATATAGGCTTAAGGTTGATCTTTGATGTAATCCAACTTAAATAGGAAAATACTTGGTTAAACCACCTTGTGTTTGAACACAACAGCTCCTACATAAATATCCTTAATGACTGGAATATAAGCATTATTAACTCATTTCTTTTCTAGAACTCTCCATAGCACTTCTCTTGAAACTTTATCATATGCTTTCTCTAAATCAATAAATATCACATGTAGATCCTCCTTATTCTCTCTATACTTATCCATCAAACCTGTCAATAAATGTATAACTTACATAGAAGACCTACCCGGCATGAATCCAAATGAAACACTTCTATCCAACAAGTAATAAAGAAAGAGTAGCACAACATGAATCAATATAATTATCAAAAACTACATGACAAATATCAGTCATTTTAAGGCAACAAGAAGGTTATCATATCATCATCACCAACAAGTAATGCAACTTGGCAGGCCATTTGTAGGTGTTTTGTTTGGAGGGCCACGAGTTAAATATTTCCCTTTTTCCTTTATTTCATATTCCATACAAATAAATAATTTGTTAAACTACCTATGAGTTTATTTGAGACAGCTTTCTTATTGCATTGCTGTTTAGACCATAATTACAATTCCATTTGGCTACTACTTAATTTCTGCATTTTAAAAATTTGTACTGGGTAGCTACTTTTTATAACCAATGTCACTGATAAGTGGTTGCTTTAAGAAAGCAACCATTCAACTTCTAAAAAAATATATTTGTAATATCCACATCAACTTTCAAAAAACTTACTTTACCAACAACAACTTCACAATCATCTTTACAAAATGCTACAGTCAGCCCAAACAAACTCTAAGTAAATCTATCTACCATGAAACTCCTTGCATTCATGTAACTAAAAAAAATCAGTTTTCATGGAACTTCTTCGCCAAGAAGAGTCATAAACATTGTAGAGTATGAAGTTCAAAATAGTAAACACATTTCAAATATAGAATTTTCATAAAGAGTACCCATAATCATCAAAGGCTAAATCAAAACGGTTTAACAAAAGATTATTTTGTTGTATGAAACACACAAAGAACTTCAATAGGATTTTCTAGACAAAAAGAGCAATGTATTAGCAGGTGAAAAGGTTTAATGATCGTGTAAATATTGAGCACATCAAAACTTTTTCAATTAACCAAGCCATTATGAAAGATATGGTAGAGTTTGGTGAGCTAACTAAATGGGAATTTCATGAATACGTTGCACAAAGGTCAAGTTAAACAAATTTTAAAACCACTTTAGCTATTATCACTACTGAATAACAGAGAGCCAACAAAACTGGATCAATATTTATGAAATTCACTTTTTATAGCATACTCTTCATAAAGAATAATTGTAAGTTGGGACAAACAGCCAAATAAAAAAACGAAGAGAACTAGAAAAACCAAGATATAATGCAAGGGTTAGCAAAATTAAGCATAACAGAATAATTCAGTAAAGAAGAATGACATATAAACTACCAAAAGAAGAAAAATTTAAAAAACATGCAAATAAAAAGATAGATGCACACCATAATTCGATGGTACTTGTCCTTTTTGTTGTACACACACAGTACATATACCATCTGTCAAAAAAAAAAAAAAACGTAAGCATGTGTAGTCAAAGTGCTAATCTGTAACATAGAACCATCATATGTATTCTGAAGTAGTGTTATTGATCAAAGAAAAAGAAGTTGGAGAACTAAACACCACATTAAAATAATAATTAGCAACAGTAAAACATATTACCTTGGGAATCAAAACAAAAAGAGAAGTTCTAATTCTCAGTAAATTTAACCTGAAAAAACAAATCCCGAAAAGGCTAAAAAGTTGCTAAATACCCACAGATTTTGATGCGGACATCCAACCGTCCATGGCTATCCGAGGAGCTAAAGATCAACGGCTGTCATCGTCCCACGTTATCTTATATTTTATTTGTAATTTTTTTAATTTTTATTATGAATTTTCCGTTTTTACCCTCACTTAAGAGGGTCGTCATATGTAAGCCTTAGGGGCATATGTGTTTTGTTTTAGTTTCTTAGATCTATATATAGAGGTCTTTTCTTATGTAATGGGAGGATGGATTGTTAATGAAATTTTATTCTACTTGTTTGATCTCTTAGTGAGTTCATGAGCGGAGAAGGATCTCTTTGTGAGTTCCGAGATTCCCAAGATCTCTTTGTGAGTTCTTGAGGAAGTGGAAGAATCTCTTTGTGAGTTCTGAAATTCCCAAGATCTTTTTGTGAGTTCTTGAGGAAGTGGCGCTTGTAGATCTATTTTTTTTTTTTTTTTTTTTTTTTTTTCGTTAATTAATTGCCTAATTAAGAATCCCTCTTAAGGCAAGGCAGTTAATGACATTTAGAGCTATTTGAAATTTTAATTCATTTCCCTCTCATATTAAATCTATTTGGGGAAGTTACACATTTCACATCAGATTTACTTCAGAAAGAAACATGTTACAATCTTGTATTCTAGTAGGTATGCATGCAACATATATGATCCTACTGTAATTCATCAAGTATAAATTGAGTAAGATACACTGGTCCATTTAAGCACCATAGCCTTTACGAAATTTTGCAGGAAAAAAAATTATAGCAAATTGGATTTGGTAAGTATTCATAATAATAAAATTAATAGTAATAATTATGGTGATGATAATTATGCTTTGGTACAACATCTCCCTTAAATCCATTCATTAACTTGGGTAACCTTTAGGTGGTATACTGCAGGATCCTTCAAAATGAGCTCGCAATGCTGGTTTTGTAAGGTTTATTTTAAAACATGAGAACTTAATAACTTACATATCACAATTATTCGATAAGTTTTATGATAATTGTCGACTAGCTAACACAACCTTCTATTTTTCTCATCCAGAACTTAGGACATGATAATGACCTTTTTTTAATTAAATTTAAATGAGAATTTGACTCTTAGTAGGACAAAATAGAAAAAAATGATTCATGTAGCCGACCGGCGCGACCCCACATAGTGGGATAAATGCTTGATGTTGTTGTAGAACTTAATAAATTACAAAATAGTACATGTAAGACTATGCAAGCTATTGGCTATTAATGTAAAAATTGTGATGTAGTACGGAAAACGCTTTGCTATGGAAGATGGACAAACTCCAAATGTCTCACAAAATCTGAAAAATATTTCAGATTTTGAATTCAAAATCTGAGAAAAAAAATTCAGTTTCTGTGAATAGGATGTGGAGTTTGGAGAGAAAACCTGGAGAGAAAACCAGGAGGGAAACTTGAGAGAATTAGGCCAACTGTAGTGGGGTTTGGGAAATCTTGACAAAAGAAATAAGTTGCAAATCTGGAAAGATTTCAAAGGCAATTTAATAAGGAGATGGGGCCAGCGGTAGGTGGAGTTGGACGGTAGATTTATTTCCTAATCCCTTTGTCTGGTTTAAGGAAAGTAATTAGAGTTTGGCCCCTTTGAAAATTTCGGCTGTTAAAGTATGGGAAATAATTTTCTGTTAACAGAAAAAGGGGAAATTTAGTGTTTAGGAAATACTTCCTAAACTAAGCCAAAGGGGATGGGGCCGGCTGCAGTAATGGATGGGGAAAATGGGGTAATTGCTCAATGCTTGATTATTTGGGAATTATAAATTCGGAAAGGGGAAATTTAAAATCCCAATCAATGACAAATTGATTTGATTGTGATTTAATGACTTTCCTAAAATAGATGAACCAAATTAGGAAAGAATTTGAAATTTGAATTTGAATAATTTCAAATTCAAATTAATCCCCAAATTAACCCAACCAAATTAGGAAATCCCAAAGAGGGTGGGAGGAGGAGTTTCGGCTGGCGGTTAATGGGGGTGGAGCCGGCGGCAGGGGTTAGGGTTTGGGGGATTTCGGGTGGAGATGAATCTGGTGGCCAAACGAAGATTGGGAAGGAGAAAGACGATGAAAAAACAATTAAAGAAGAGATAAAACAAAAACAAGAATAGAACGAAAGATCGAAACAAATGATAGAAAATGAAAACCGCGAGCCTCAGACTCTTCTGAAGACTGACGGGTGATCCGATTGCCCTTCTTCAAGGGACTCAAATCACGAGCCCGGACCCATCCTGCGGCTGGTGACAACTTCGATTCCTCTCATAGGAATCTCACTAACGCTCTCTCACAAGAAGAACACAAGTGTGGGAAACAATTTTTCATATTAATCAACCATCCATTACAATAGCTTAAGGCCCTTATTTATAGGCCATAACATGAGAAAATAGAAAATTACAAAAATACCCCTTGGGCCACAACACTCAAATAAATTAACCTAGGGGTAAAATAGAAAATAACATAAAATAGAAACTAAAAGGCAGAAAATAATTCATAAATGACAACTTAAATTAGAGCCGTCGATTTACGACGCCTCCTGTGATAGATGCGTCAGATCTTCGTGCTGATGTCCGCATCAAATTGACATCAATATGTGCTGACAGATTCAAATTTAAAAACCCTAAAAAAATAATCTGCCATCCTTTGATACTTTATACATCTAGAGATTTGGTTATTCAAAGAAAAGAAAACACTTTCTTCAACAAAACCAACCAAAGAAAGGAAAAAAAGCCCCTTCCTAACGTCTCATCCCAGCTTCGTAATACCTAAAACATCAGTTTTAAAGCATATGGTGCTCTTTTATCAGTAACCAGATTAACTTAACATAGAAAAGATGTAATACTCAAACAATGACAAAATTAGGGGTGCCAATAAAGCTATAAGTTCGCGAACAACTCATGTTAAACCTAATAAAAACCCCATGCTCTACTCGTTTTTTAAGTAAGCGAGTTGAACATAATCATATATTTTGAGGACAAATATATATATATATATATGCACTAGTTATTTGTAATGTACAATATTAAATTGTTGGTTGTTCAATTTTGAGATTTATATTTGTAGCAATAGAAGTTTTTATTTAACGCACAATTATCTTGATTTTTTATGTGTTATTTAATAAAGGTTGAAATCTAGTATTATTTAACTAATTGAGCTAACTTCAAGTTGAATACAAGCTCAAAATGAATCAAACGCAAATATGTTATTCACAAAAAAGTTGGAACCATACCTTTCAACGGCGAATGGTGTACCACGACGCAAAGTTTCCCGTGGAGCCATAAGGCATAGCGCATGGCGAGGCGAGCGACATTTTGAACACAGCCAAAATAAAAAATAATTATAAAAATCATTATATGGATCCTATTTTAGAGAATCAATCAAGTTGGGTAAGGCTTTGTTGAATATGTTTATGGTCCAAAATCTAAACCATTAAATTGAGCTTCAAGTTCATCCAAAATTTCTACTAAAATAAAGTCTAGATAAAGTCTAATAAAACCGAACTAAACTATTTTAATCATATCAAATAATTTTAAAATTAATTATTACATTATTTTAGAAATTAAAATATATAAATATTAAAAACTATTTATAATTATATTAAAAATTTCCTAAAATTCAAATTGCACGCGTCGTGCACCATTGCGCACATATGGCGCAAATGGCACGTGCCAACTTGAACATGTGTGCCACACCATGCAACTGGCGCCATAGGTGCGCCACGCCGCGCCATGCACCATGGCGCGCGTCATTTTGCGCCATTGACAAGTAGGGTTGGAACACAAGCCTAACTCGAACGAACTAATTTTTGGACAGCAGAACATGAACAAAAACTGAGCTCACTCAAGCTCTACTCATTTACAACCCTAGATTGAACCAAATTTTTTTAAAAAAATAATGTTACAATAGTTAGAATATAGATTCTAAAAATTAGATTGTAATGGAGTCACTTTCACTATGATTGAAGAATCCTCGTCATAAATCATTTTCAGAAGTTAATTTCAACAGTATGTTAGGATTACTCACTGCTTAAGGAATCAGCCAAAAAAAAACATGAAATTGCAGCACTACCAATAAACAAGATGAAAGAAAGAATATACAAAAAACAGTTACTGCTTGAAAGAAATGATCAGCAAAAGATGCCCGAATCTTACATGTCCATGGTGAATCTTAAGTCCTCTATCCTCCACCCTACAATTCCCATCTATGAAAAGGGTTTTGATAGGAACCTGCATATATATGTCAATTAAAAAATCAAGCAAATATCAGAAGCCTAATAAACCGTTTTTTGAATGAAAACCAATAGAATTCAATTCAATAATAGTCAAGGCATGACTCTAGTTATGAACAATTTCAAATGAGATTGCAGCTCCAACAATCCGGCAGTCAAAGGCTCCAGTGAGTAGCACAAATCCAGAAAAAGATACGAAATTTTCCTTAATAAAAGATGGACACATACCATATTACCCAGGGACTTCCTCTTGTAATAAGCAAGAACCCTAGTTTCGAGTACAAAGTACCGCATGTGGATGAACGAACGGCCGATCCTCCTCCGACCAAAGCGCACCATCCATCCCTCGTATACTACTTTCGACATTCTTCTTCCTACTTGCCCGATCCAGAATTTCTTCAAGGGTCAAGCAACAGCTTCCCCTCTCCTCCACCTCACAATCTCAAAAGATACAGAAGCAGAGCTAAAGCCTGTGGTCAAAAAAGTATCGAAAGAAGCGTCAAAAACTGCACCTGAATTTTACAAACCACAGCGCCCAACCAGGGAAAAGCCATCGCACAGAGTACGACAAAGGGCTCGGACGAGCAACTAAAAGAAATAGATAAAGATAAAAGACCGAAAGAATACGAGTAGCTCCTTGTCGCTTTCTTCTCTGGGTCTCACTCCTTGCCGGCGTTGACTGAGTAGGACTGGTGAGAAGAAGAGGGATGCTTCTTGTTTTCCCTGTCAGGAGTTAGAGGACCAGACCGTAAGACGTCGGATATGCTGCTGCGGGGGCGTTCGGGAACGGCGTGCTATGTTTCGGGCTGGCTGGAAGTGTGGTTCGAATTTACCATCGTGCCATTTTCCGGCTGTTTTCGGACTACAACCCCCGGCGTCCGACCGCAAGTGGATAACGGGCACTGGGAATCAACGGCTGTGATGTGCACACGAAAGGGTGTCGATACGAACGAGTAAATCCTGATATGTTAAATCTTGAAAATAATTAAGTAGTTATAAAATTTTGGAGATGTTTGGTTGGATTATCCAATGGTGTAAAGTATTTTAAAGCAGGAGTTCAAATTTTTTAATTTTTAGTTTGATGAAAAAGGAATACAAGTTAGGCTTCGTTTGGGACGGCTTTTTTATTGCTTTCTAAAACGGAGTTTTAGTATAATTTTTTTTATTTTTTACTAAAACTCCGTTTTAGAAAGCAATAAAAAAGCCGTCCCAAACAAAACCTTAAAGTGATGTAAATGTACAATAAGTTATTTTAGGATTTTTTTTTAAACAAATCAAACTCATAGAGCTTCATTAAGATAGGATTAATAAAATACTAGAGCAATCATTATTTAATAGAAGTTCTTTATTCGATTTCACAATTCTCTAATCAAAAGAAGGTAAATCAGTGTATTTCATATCGCAGTGTCCTCATGTTATCATAATTGGACGAGCAATTATTAGGTCATTTCACTGGATGCAGAGGAAGGTTCGGTTTTAGGCAAAAATAGGTCAAAAAGTGCAAATACCGAGTTTTTCAAAAAACTCGGTATTTTTTTCAAAAAACTCGGTATTTGCACTTTTTTAGGCAAAACCGAACCTTCCTCTAGGTCCTTGCACCGGACCAAATAAAAATCCTAATTGGACATACCAATTTCAACTCAATCTGCTTAACTAAAAAAAGGTGGAAGGCAAACTTATAGAAGAGATGGAACTTACCTTATACCAATTTCAACTCAATCTGCTTAACTAAAAAAAGGTGGAAGGCAAACTTATTGAAGAGATAGAACTTACAAACTAGGTAGGAGACAAATTTAGCACAACTTCAAAAATTTTATTAAAGAGTCAAACATAACACTCATTACAATAGAATGAAATCTCTTTATATAGAGAGAAGGTACTCGAAATTCATAAAACAAATTTGAAGTCCAGGGAGATAACATATTCCCATTTACGTTGATAATCCAATGCACTAAGAAAAAAGAAAAGCTAGTACCACAACTTTAAATAAAAAAAATATAAATATTTAGTAAAGTAAAAGTAATGCACAATAAAAAGAGCAGAACTATAAGGATTCTTCTTCAATTCTAATTTTTTTATTTTCCTTTTAATTTTGAAACATTGTACCACTGATCTAGCACAAAAAAGGTAGAAGGAAAACTTATAAAAGAGGGAGAACTTACAAACTAAGCAGGAGACGAACTTGGCATAACTTCAAAAATTTTATTAAAGAGTCGAATTTAACACTCATTACAATAAAATGATCTCTCCTTATATAGAGAGAAGGCACTCGGAATTTCATAAAATAAATTTGAAGTCCTGGGAGACAACATATTCCCACGCACATTAATAATTTAAAGCACTAAGAAAAAGAAAAGTTAGTACCACAACTTTAAAGAAAACAAATAAAGTATAAACTTCAAGTAAAGTAAAAGTAATACATTCTAAAGAGAGCGCCACTAAAAAGATTATTCTTCTTCAATTCTCTTTTTTTTTTTCCTTTTGATTTTGAAATACTGCCCCACTGACCTGGTAGCTCGTAATGGCTTTATTTAGATTGACTTGATTAAGATATTTTATATTTTGTTTGGAACATCTTCTCCATTTGTTGTTCATATTTTTCTTCAATCAAATTTTAATTTCTTCAACAAATTCATTGGGAAATTTGTACCTTAATGTGTGCATTCATAGTAAGAATTATTCATGTTTTTGAAACATCCTAGCTACATATTGATTATTCTTAAAAATTTGTTGGACATGTTTCAATTTATCGTCAATGATAATTGTTGACCATCAGTTGATGGAAATAAACATTTTCAATTGATGGCATTCAGTCCAATTTCAAAACTCCAAGATCAAATCCATGGCATTTGTGCTTGGATGAACTAAAAAAAATTCTCATGCCTTCAATTAATTTAGCTTATTGGACTTTTGATAAGTGTGGTGATGAGTCCACTCATTCAGAGTAAATTTGATTAGGGAGAATTATTGATTGGAGCCTTCCATACAATCCCACCAGTGAAAAACCCAAATGAGCGTTGGATTAGCTAAGATATCAAAATGGATAATTAACATCCAATAATATTTCTCTCAATTTAATAATATAGAAGTCATTTTTGTAGCCTCAAAATATGTCTAAAAATTTAAGAAAATATTTCTCTTTTGTTGATTTTGTTTATTGAAATAATCCATAGATATAGTTTGATAATGGGTAATACTACAATCCTTATAATTAAGGATTTTAATAATATTTGCTTTGCTATAAGCAATATTTTTCATTCATCATATTTATGATTGGTTTCTATACGTTGGAGATGAAGTAAAATTGATTCACATATATCTCGTTCAAAAATTGAGGATTGGATAAAAGAGGTATTTCCCATATAGCATCCATGATAATTCATGGAGATTGAATATCATAATCTTCAAAATTGATTTCAAATAATAATTCAAAACTATTTTTAAAAAAGGGCTCAAAGAGCAAAGTCCGAGGAGCCTCATCAGACTGATTAGATTCAAGATTTGATTTTTTGGGCAAATTGCCCCAAAGAGGTAAGATTTAAGAGGAATCATTTTTGAAGAGAATGATTCGTCACTTCCTTTGCCATGGGAGGAAAATCCTCCGCGAGGAAAAGTGTTATGATTACTAGGAGACATAAAACCTCAATTAGGGTGAGACATGGTGTCTTTATTGGGTTGTGGAGAAAACACCTGCAAACATGTTAGAGAAAGAGCAAGTGAAGAAGAAGATGAGTTAAGCCATTTTCTCATTGATGCCTTACCGAAAGCCAATCATTGCTTTTGGTGGAAAACTAAAAGCCATGTGGTTAGTTAGCTGCAGCAAGTAGTGGAGGTGAGGTGTACTGCTAGACTATGTTAACAGCTCCCCTCAAGCTGATGGGGTCAGAAGGACCTGAAGCTTGGATCGTAAAGAGTTGAATCTTGAACGAGGAAGAACTTTAGTAAAAACATCAGCAATTTGATCTTGAGAATTGATATGACTAACCGTAAGAGTGGCAGATTTAATGCAATCGCGAATGAAATGATAGTCTACTTCAATATGCTTTGTGCGAGCATGAAATACCGGATTGTGCGCAAGTGCAATAGCCAAAACATTGTCACAATAGGAGGAGTAGGTGTATCAACCCGAAATTGAAAATCAGCCATTAGTCTACGAATCCAAATGATGTCGGTTGAAGCTGTTGACAATGCTCGATATTCAGCTTCCGTAGATGATTTTGCCACAGTTGGCTGCTTCTTAACGCACCACGAAATGAGAGTGTCCCCTAGAAATAGACAATAGCCTGTAGTCGACTTTCGATCGGACGGGTCACCAGCCCAATCCGAATCAACAAATGCTTGTAGAGCAGAAGAATTGTCGGAGATGGGTAGACCAAGATCAACCGTTCCTTTAATGTAACGAATGAGATGTTTAAGAGCATTGAAATGCTGATACAGTGGACGATGCATAGACTGACAGAGCTTGTTGACTGCGAATGCTATGTCCGGTCGCGTGATTGTCAAGTATTGTAAGGATCCAACAAGATGCCGGAAAAGTTCAGGATTTTCAAATACCGAAAGAGAATTTTCATCCAAATTCTGTTTTGTGTGGACCGGTGTGAGTACCGGATTGCAATTTTCCATACCAGCCCGTTGGAGAATATCAAGCCCATATTTGGATTGATTTAGATGATAGCCGGTAGGCGTGGACACTGCTTGAATGCCAGGGAAATAAGATAAGGTGCTCAGATTTCTAAGCTGAAATTTACTCTGTAAATGAATCAAGAGATCAGCAATGAGTTTAGAATTATTTCCGGTAACCAAAATATCATCTACATATATTAAGAAATATATGAGATGTGAATTGTGATTGTACACAAGTAAAGACGGATCGGCATGGCTGTGTCTGAAACCCCAAGACTGCAGATGGGTAGTTAACTTGGCAAACCATTGCCGAGGAGATTGCTTAAGCCCGTAAATTGCTTTATGTAGACGACACACAAAATCCGGTGAATTTGGATCCTTAAATCCCGGCGGCTGATGCATATAAACTTCTTCATTTAATTCCCCATGAAGAAACGCATTAGATACATCCAATTGAAGGATGGACCATGTCCTAATAACAGCTGTGGTGATAAATAGACGAATAGTAGGTAGCTTTGCAACCGGACTAAATGTCTCTGTATAATCAATGCCATATTCTTGTCTATAGCCTTGGGCTACTAGCCGAGCCTTGTGACGAGCAATTGTTCCATCTGAATTCAGTTTTGTTTTATAGATCCATTTGCACCCAAGAATGGTTTGAGACTATGGCGGCGGTACCAATCTCCAAGTACCCTTTTGCTGTAATGCCTGAAACTCAGCAGACATAGCATCCCTCCAACACTTATGTTTGCTAGCCATAGTGAAACATGTCGGATCAGAGTGATCTACTTGAATGTGTTGAAGATTGAAGACAGGTTTAGGCTTCAGTTTTCCCGTTTGTAGTCTAGTCACCATATGGTGTCGGGTTGGACCAGGAGGAGAAGAGGTCAAAGTAGGAGGTGGAGCATTGGAAATTGAATGATCAGACATTGGCTGAGTTGCGTTAGGAGCAAAAATGTCGGGAATAGGAGTAGAGATGTGAGTTGATGTCGAAATAGTGTGAGGGACTAAAGTTAATGGGGAAATAATAGTGGTAGGAGGAGAGGGATTTTTCGGGGAAGGTGTTGAGATAGACTGTTGAAAAGGAAAAATATGTTCATGAAATTTAACATGGTGGAAAATAATGATTTTAGAATTGTTGAGATTAAAACAACGAAATCCTTTATGAATGGAACTATATCCTATAAAGACACAAGCAGACGACTTTGGAGCAAATTTATGAGGAACCGTGGGTTGCATCCAAGG